CCCCCCCCCCCGCGCAACTTAAATTTAAAAAAAAAATACATTTATTCCTTAGCATATATAAAAATCAAAACATTCATGCGCACTTCTTAGCGGCCTGGTGCGGGTTTGGTAGGTGGTGAGTCAAGATCTTGACACAATGTTTACGATTGACTAGCCTCTCTGCCCTTTTATGTGCGGGCATTCCCCGCACCGCCCGCACCGCGGGCACTAAGCTAGTATATATATATATATATACATATATATATATATATTTATTTATTTATTTATTTAATACGAAAAAAAATTTACAAAATCGGGACCTCAGCCCCCCGCCCGTAGCCGACCTCAGCGGTCGGGATCCAGACCACGGACCGAGATTGACCCCACGGTCATGACCGCGGGAGATTCATAGTTGGAGCCGACACATGTTAAGACTAAGGATTGACAAGTGGCTCGGCTCCTCCAGTCGACTAACCTGGCGAGTCCTAGGCGAGGACGAACTCAACAAAGAAACGCGCCGGTGCGAGATCCTATAGTAACCAGAAGCCGCTCTGTTGGAAGACATACGGATAACATGAACACCAATCAGGCGCAAGGAGGGGCGAACCAGCCGAACCTAGCCCCCCCGCAGCCCCCACGTGTTTGCGTCCGTGCTTCCCCCGATCTATACTTGTTTGATCATGCGCATCAATGTGCTGGAGCATGGCTTACCACACTTTGAGCGCAACAATATGACGACGGTGGAGCCAGGATCAATGTCCCCGCTCGTTTGGGCGAAGACCCGCACCATTGGTTTAGCACGTACACGTGGGTCGATCTCCTGGCATTTGAAAGAAATTTTATGCACCGGTTTGATTATATCCATCCAGAGCAGGCGTTCTTCTTGATCAAAGATCGGGTGCAGAAGCCTCTCGAATTTGTGGTAGAGTACCGCAGTCGATTGACTCGATTCTATAGATTATTTGTAAAGTCTTAGAGGAAAGAGACGGTGGGTAGGAAATTTTTCATTGACGGGCTAAGAAGCCGAGCCATGAGGGTGAAATTGCGAAAACAATTTTCCCCCATTACCCATAACCTGCAACAAATAATGGATGTCCTCGAGGAAATGGAACGGAAGTTCGCTGCCAGTTTCCTCGAAGGCGAGGATCATGCAAAAGAGGGGGACACGTCCGAACTTACCCGAGTGCGAATGGAACTCGCTGTGCTACAGAATAAATTTGCAAATATGGGCTTGTGTGAGGTCCCATCACCTACCTAGAGCCGGTTGGGGTCCAGAAGTCGATGGCCAATGTGGCCATCAGACCTCCTGTTGTTGTCCCTCCCGCGCCCCTTCAGGCCACGACGTTATTCTCCAGTTGACAAGAACGTTGGTGAACCTCATGCAGGAAACCAAACGTTATTCTCAAGTTGACAAGAACGTTGGTGAACCTCATGTAGGAAAGTAAGAGGGAGCAGGGGGAATATAACGCCCGAATGGAAACACTGCCCCGCTCGATGCGCCCCATTACAGTTCGAGCCACCCCGATGGGAACTGGAGCCTCGCAGTCGACAGGTGTAATCGCGGCAGGAATGGGTGCACGAGTCGACGGTTGCTACACGTGTCATCAACCAGACACATAACATGAGAATGTCCCAACCCACCCGCACATGCACGAATCGAGGCTGCGCCAACGGCCGCAGCACCAATAGTTAATGGACCAGGATGAGTAGCAACGATGGTAGAAGAAACTGACAGCGGGGCAAGCACATCGGGTGTTACGGAGGAAGCAGCGGAGCTTATTCCGCTCGACCAATACATATCGTTAGGATACCCGGGCCTCGGAATGATCGGGGTCATCCAACCTGCCCCCGACAATAACGAAGTTTCAGAATGGAGACCCTTCCCAAGCGAGATGGAATCAGGAGGACCTGTGTTCATCACGAGGGAAATCCATGTGCTAGATATAGTACGGGCCCTGGATCACCGCATCCCCTTGCTTATCGGACATCTGTTATCCATCTCCAACCAGACTAACGACCGAATGTTGCAGCACTGCAAGGCAAACCGGAAACGGTTTGCCCTTGCCAAACTGGCAGCCGCGAAAGGGAAGGCTCCCGAAGTTATGTGTCCCCCCGTACGAAAACGGGGAGTACGTATAACCGTACGTCCGTACGTACGGCCCCCAGGCGGTCGTACAGGCCGTACGTACGGCCGTACGACCCGTTTCGGCGGCCTTCCCCGGGTGGGGGGTGGCATATGATGGGGGGGGGGGGGGGGGGGCGGGGGGGGGGGGGGGGGGGGGGGGGGGGGGGGGGGGGGGGGGGGGGGGGGGGGGGTGCACGTCGGGGGCTACCCCCCAAAGTAAAAAAAAAAGGAAAAAAAGAAAAAGTTTGTTCGGGGGTTTGCGGGTGGTGGGGATCGGGAAAAAAAAAAAAGTTGATTGTTTGATTGATTGATGGATTGATTGATTGATTGATTGATTGATTGATTGATTGATTGATGATTGATTGATTGATTGATTGATTGATTGATTGATTGATGAAAAAATAAAAAGAAAAAAAATGATGCCGCCAAGCTTTTCTTTTTTTTTGATTGATTGATTGATTGATTGATTGATTGATTGATTGATTGGTTGATTGATTGATGATTGATTGATTGATTACCCTCCCCCAACCCATCAATCAATCAATCAATTAATCGATCAATCAATCAATCAATCAATCAATCAATCAATCAATCAATCAATCAATCAAAAAAAGGTGCCCGGCATTATTTTTTTCCTTTTTTTTTTCATGAATCAATCAATCAATCAATCAATCAATCAATCAATCAATCATCAATCAATCAATCATCAATCAATCAATCAATCAATCAATTTTTATTTCTTTATTTTATTTTATTTTTTTCCGCGTTTTGATGTTTTCTATTTTTAAAAAATATAAAAAAGATAAAAAAAAATAAAATAAAAAATGTGAGGGTCTAGAGATCGAAAAGCTCTACATACCCATATATTTTTATTTTTTTTTACGTTTTTTTTTTGGGAGGGTTCGTCACTTTGTACGGGACTGGCCGTACGGTCGTACGACAGAACCCCCGTACGACGTACAGGGTGCAACACAAACCCGAAGCCAGATGAGCCAAGCACATTGGAACCGGTCCGGATGGGCCTGATCCGGAAAGACGTTCACTTCCTACGGATCAAGGTCATACCTTGCAGTTCTGCAGAGTGTGACGTGGAAGCATGGGGAAACCCCTACAGTGCGGTTATCGATTCCGGAGCTGTGGTCCTAGGTGTCTCACTGCAGCTGGTTGACCGAGCAGGAAGACGGAAAGATGTGATTCCGCTTGCGGAGGGCGATCGTTTCGTTTCATCGATGAAGGGAAAATTCGGGTTGTAGGGAGAATGACAAATGTCGCTTTCTAGATAGGAAAGGTCCATGCCTTAGGAGACGTCGTGGTCTCGAATGTGAACACCTACGATGTCCTCATCGGGTTACCAGCACTCACAGCCTTGCAGGCTGAACTGGACTGCGAACTGCGAGCAATCATCCTAAAAATACGGGAGGCAAACCATACATCGTTTCGATGAGCCTCACCCTCCGAACAACATCGACGTCTGTACGGCAAACATGACCTGAACCCGGCGAAACTGTGCGAATGATAGGATGGGAGGATTCCACTGATGAATCGGACACCGAGTACAATGAACTTGCACTGACATCATCCACATCCAAAAGCGAGGAAGAATCGGATCCTCAAATTCTTGAGCTCGCATGACAGATAGTGCGTTACACACTTCGACAGGAAACGATAAGAACCTTTGTTCTCACGGAAAACGTTCGGCGAACTAGAGCGCTGATCATGGGAGAACCACTAGTGCAGATATCTAGGATGACCGACTCTTGGGAACCCCCTCGGACCATATACGAAGCGGCTACCCCGTTGCTATCGAGGTACCACGACAAACGATCTTTCTACGATATCTCAAAGATTCACGATCGGGAAAGAAATCCGGCTGTTAAAGAGAGGCGCCAAGAACCGGACTTCGGAACCCCCTGAGCTATATGACCTCACCCCGTTCGATATCGGAATAAGAATCGCAGAGAGAACCGTGGACCCCCGGGATATCGAGGACGGTATTATCCTGGACGGACACATGGCAATCAGGGAGGAGGAAGCTCAGATGGTCGCCACAGTCTTTTCTTGGCGTTCCGATAATTTGTTTATATCATCCCCACCTACGGGGAAGACCCCCGCTACCCGGATGAAACAGTTACCGATAGCAATACGGAACAGTCACTACGAACTGCATGTACCGGAATATGTGTCTGATGAAATACACAAACTCATTGCTCACATTTTGTTCGAGTATCAGAAGGCGATTAGCGTAGGGGATGTAGACATCGGGTTGTCCCAAGTCATACAGCACGAGATCCAGACTGGCACCCACCCGCCGATCCACTTTAAACCGTACCGGTACTCGTTAGTTGAAAGACAAACGGCCCTGGAGCGGATCAGGGAATTCGAGGCCAACGGCTGGATTGAGCCCGCCACAGACCCATGGTCCTTCCCTGTGGTTTTAGTCCCTAAAAGGACCGAATCCATTCGCATTTGCATTGATTACCTGAAATTGAATGATATCACGATCAAGGACGTGTACCCCCTACCCTGGATTGATGATTTGTTGGATGCGATTGGGTGTGCTAATTATTTTAGCAAGTTTGATATCCGTCACGGGTTCCATCACATATTGGTTAAGGAAGAAGATCGTCCGAAAACGGCATTCGTATTGTTTTAAGGCACGTGGCAATGGGTCCGTTGTCCTATGGGTATTTGCAATGCTCCGGCTACGTTTCAAAGGGCAATGAACGTGACTTTTCAGAGCTTCATTAACAAGACTCGGTTGGCACAAGGAATGGTGAATTTTTGTGTCATCGTGTACATGGACGACATCATGCTCTATTCAAAATTTATTTCATGGACATGCACACCATATCGAATGGACACTTGGAGCGCTGCAAGATGCAGGCTTCAAAATCGCTCTGGAGAAAAGCGAGTTTTCCCTGTAGGAGATCTCGTTCCTCGGGTATGTGGTAACTCGGGGAGGCTTGAGGTCGGAATCGGGAAAAGTGGACACGCTTCGGGACGCGCCCACACCTACGTCTCTGACGCAGGTTCGGGCCTTCATGGACTTGCTTCCTACTACCATAGATTTATCAAGGGCTTTGCGGCAATCGCACGACCCTTGACCAATCTTCTGCGAAAGGACCAACCGTTAACCTGGGACGAGGAATGCAAACGGGCCTTCTCCACTTTGAAGGAGGCCCTAGCCTCCACGAGCATTTTAATTCGCCCTGATCCTGGGAAGTCGTTCATCCTCATGACGGACTGGCAGCCTGAAGTGATTTCCGCCATCTTGGCGGAGAAGGGGAAAGACGGTCGCGAGCATGTTGTTGAGTACGCTTCCCAGACGATGCCAGACGAGCGGAAGAACGATTCGGCGCCTCAGGGGGAATGCTATGGGGTGGTTTGGGGCATCCAGCATTTTCACCCATACCTATATGGGCAAAAGTTTCTTCTCGTCACTGATCACGAACTGTTGCTGGCGCTCAAGAAGTTGACTTATTACACAGGAATGATCGGGCGATGGGCAGTACGATTGCAGGAAGATAATTTTGACATAGCTCATCGTAAGATAAAGAAACACGGGAATGCGGACGGACTGACATGTCTGCACAGGCCGAGCAAGGTGCTGAAGGGAGAAGAGATTACGCCATGGAAGGAGCCGAAGCGGAAGTTCAACGAAGGGCCTCGGTACGGACAGGTATCGGTGCTCCCTCGACCGACTGCAAAGTGACACGTTATAACATGGCGGCTCATGACGGAGGTAACGATGATGCTTCTCCCTCCCCTTCCTCTACCTTCTCTTCTCTACCTGATCAATTTTGTTATTTTTGTGAATCTATCTCGAGAGTCTATTCAGTGTCGATGCAACCACACGAAGAGGGATACGTAGACTGGGTAGATTGTTCCAAATGTGTTTCACGGGCACACGGGTCGTGCATTCAGTACCGAAATTCCCAGAGGCCATGACTTTGCCCACTGTGTTGAACCGATAAGATTCCAACAAAGACCCGTTTTTTGGAGGCCACCTCTGAAGGCCTAGAAAAAAAACGACGGGTAAGAAGCGCTGAGGTATGGATAAATGTCATCCTGATAGCTATGGTAGCAGGAAACTCGCTCCCAGAATTCTCAAAGGAAGATCGGAGGCGGGCCAATGAGCGGGCAAGGGATTATAGGTGGAATGAAGGACGGTTAGAAAAACGAAAAATAGACGGGAGCGCAATGTCAGTTCCGCATCCGTTCATGTGGTATGACTGGGTCCGAGCAGCCCACGAGGAAACAGCTGCACATTTTATCGTAAGGATTACGAAGGCGGCTATCGACAAGAATGAATGGTACTGGTCGAATATCAGGGATGATGTTAAATTTATTGTTAAAAATTGTCCCGTCTGTGCGGCGGATAAAGCGTCGGTCCAACCCCTTAGGTTGATAGTACCCACCGTAGTCGAACGGTTGTTCCAGAGAGTTAGCATGGATACGACGGATATCGTCGTGCCCCCTGGACCTAATAACTGCGAATATTCAATTCTCCTGGTTTTCGTGAATCATTTGTCAAAATGGATCGAGGCCTACTCTTGCAGGACAAGACAGATGACGGAGATAGCACGGTACATCAACCGTTTCCTAGGGATGCATCAGGATACCGAGGAAATCCTTACAGGCAATGGAGCAAAATTTCAAGGAGAGGTCATGGGGAACCTGGTCCTTCATGACGTCTCCATGCGGCATACTGCCCTGCATATGTTACAATCGAACGGCCTCGTAAAGAATGCAAACCGGGTGCTCAAAACGGGGCTCTGACGAAACATCGCGACCAGAGATACACGACCCTGGCCCGATATCGTAGATCACATCTTGGCCATCCATCGGAGTACCCCACACGAGTCTACCGGATTGTCCCTGTTCCAGTTACGAACCAACAGCCTAGCATGTGTCTCGATACCGAGCCTAAATGATGAATCGACCCTAGGATGACGATCAACAAGGGCCACGGCCCGAGAAAAAGCCAAGCAACACCTCGAACTGATGGAACGGTCCCTCCCCCGGTTAGTCCTGAAGCGCCAGCGCATGACCCAATTGGCTCACGGACGACAGGTCCGTAGCTACGAGGCCCGAAATGGGAATGCGGGTCCACGACCCCAGTATAAATTAGGGGACATAGTGCAGGTGAGGAAATGTGCTCGCCAGGTAAAATTAGCTCCATGATTCTTCGGGCGTTTTCCCGTGATTGAACTCGAACCCAACAGCGTGAACACGGTGCGCTTGGCTCCTGAGGTGTCGGGTAGCCGATCCGCTCTCCACATCATCCACCACGTGTCTTATCTTCGTCATCTGTCTGCTTCCTCTCCCCCATCTTCTTCTGAGTCTCTCGCGTCCTCCGATTGGGAAGACGGCGAGCCTGATCCCCTCTGTTCTCCATCTCTACAGCTCTCATCCCCTACTCCGTCTACGTCTCCATGAGCTTTTCCACGGAGCAGATACTCAGCGAGCATATTTTGGCACCTCAGGGGCACATTTCGGCAATACGGCAGGTGCATCATCCGCGTCTCAGTCCGGATCTTCTACGATTTGCACAATTCTTCAGCACAACCAGTGTATACGCGGCGGCCGAATTCTGCTTCGTTCAGGAGAACAACCAATCCAGGGTGCTGGCCGAGGCATCAGCATTCGTACGACTGTTTGCGTCGGGTACTAGCCACATCTTAGTGATCGTTTCCTTCACTGGGGACATCACCACAATCAATGAACGAGTACACCCAGCTCTTCTATCTTCTCTACGGGATTGGGCATCCGACCTGATCAAAGCCTGGAAATTGCTCGTCATACGACAGGGAGATAACGTGGTGGACAGCAACAACATCGATATCCATGGGATAAGGGTTCGGCGGTCTGAGCCAGAGGTAATCCTTCACATGCTCATCCCCTTTGCGCGGCCCCAATGAGTGTCCATCGGACCATCGCTTCTCGCTCTTCCGCCTCCCTTCTAACTTCCCTCTCTTCTGTCAATCAGCGCTCCTCCCTTGCCTTTCTACCCGCGTGCGCCGATTCAAAGTCCCTCTTCTGAACGACGAGTATTGGCAGGATTGGTGGAGTGATTACACAGCGCTTTCTCTCTGCTTCCTGGAAATCACCTTCCGTTGGGCCAACGTTGACGCAGGGTCGAAAAAAGGAGAAGACGAAGTGGAATTGCTCGTCGTGCAGGCGTGGAGGACGGACGTAGAAGGTGATCTGTTGGGGCTTGTTTTCGAGACAGTGGAGAAAGATCATCTCCCCCCAATCTACAGAGAACTGTTGGTATTGCTGACTCAGCTCATCGACGATCTGCCACTGGACATCATCTCGTGCCACGACAACAACCCCGCGCCGCACATCTTAACGAGGAGTTTGACGCCGTACCTGCAGTGGTCGGCGTGTCTGGAATCAGATCCGGATAATTGCTATTACCCCTCGACTGAAAACTACCCGGAGATCCAAAAGGTGGTTAGCGACTTGTTCTACGAGTGCGGTTATCTGACTGTTCATACGTCCGAGGAGGAAGATAGTTCGGAAGAAGAAGAGGAAGGAGGCAACATTGAGGAGGAATCCAGTGAGGACCAAGGTGGTGAACATATCGAGGAAGAGCCAGAACGGTCTAGCGGAGCGGAGAAGGAACGGGGAGAAGAAGGCCAAGGTCGACAGGAGGACGATCCCACCGCCGTAGAACGGAAGTGAAGGGAGATCGCCAAGGGAAAACGGGTGATCGGCCAGGGTGTGGGACCAACATCACGGCCACCACGAGACGATCCCACACGGGATCCGGAACTGCCAAGTGAAGAGGATGAGCGGCCTAGCAGCACAGGAGCAGCCGGCCCAGTATGCGACAACAACGACGAAGCCGCTCCTGCTCCCTCTTCCCAAGATCGGTTTTTCGAGCACGTAACTTTCCGGGAAATCTGGCTTCGTCCCCGCTCGTTATCTCGATGTCCCCTTGACTACATCACCTTCCACCGGATCGAAACTCTGATTCCTATTTCCGCAAACCTTTTCTCTCGTCCCCTCTTCTATCAACTTTACTCCACTAGGCTAATCGCCACCATTCACCCCCACCCAACCACGCGATCCCTCCACTCCTCCGTTTGCCTCCTTATCCATTTCTTTAGTGTAGCATGGCGGTTGTTCTACAACGTCGAATTGTACTTCACGATTACGGGGACGATCTCTGCGTGTACAGATTATGAGCAGTTTAAGGCATCCGTCATCCGTACTATGTCTACCCTCTACCCCGACTATCTTGCTTCCCTCCCCTAGCAATCAACGCTTCCCGCATGTCCATCGCACCATCCGCTACGTCGATCTCCCTGGATCAGCGCAAGATATTACCTACTTTCTGGCCCTGCTCCCGCAGCAACCCCCTCTATTTCCACCAGGTGTCCTCTGCCTCCCCAACCCGGCTCCGGGACTTCTTTAAGTACGAGTGACACGTGTCGAAAGGATGACTTCCACACTCCTATTCGACGATATGGCACGTGTCAAACCCTCAGCGTGTACATGTGCAAGCGGGAGCTTGTGCAAATTGGAACCCCCTGGACGTCACATACGTGACGAACTCTTTTTTGAGACGCGTTATTTCCTGCGCGAATAGCTTGGGAGCATGTAAACGGGGTTAGGAATAAATTGCATGAATGCCCTTGCTTTTGGTTGCTCTTTCCTTTCTTTTTTTGGGGGGGGGATCCTAGGAGAAATCGGGTAGATGGTCCGCGCCTTAGCGAGCGTGGGGAAAGAGGGGAACGACGACAGTTTCTTTCAGTTCCTTTCTCTTTCTTGGGAGTACGAGCAGCTTTTTGACACGATCAGTGCGCGCAGGAAAATCTTTTTCGAATTTTGAATCTGTGAGGAGTCGTGAGTGCTCGCGGAATTTCGTTTTTGCAATTAGGATTTTGATTAAGGGGAATTTGGGCGCGCTGGAATTTTCGCCAACAACTACGCAATGATTCTTGCTTGTGCGCGCATTTCCGCGGTTGGCTCTGCGTTCTTGGCTGCACGCGCCTTAATCCTTGCTGTAACTGTAATCTCTTCTTGGCGGGCATAGGCATAATTGTAATCTTCCTTCGTTGACTCCTTCTTCGCACCTTTGCGTGCGCTCTTTTTCCTTTGTCTCATTGGTCAGAAAGATGCATGACTGGATCTTTGCGTGGAGAGTGGCTACGTCCCCCTGTAGCGGACCCACCAGGTGTGGTGCTCCGCTAGTGACAGAGATGGAGATGGAGGAAGAAGGGGGAGCAAGATGGCACAACGTAGCTCCCCACACAAGACTCCAACGCACGTACTCCAAAATGTGCAAGTGAGGAATGAGACTGAAAACAGACAATGGCTGGGGTATACCCCAGCGGACTGACGGGACTGGACTGGACTGGCTGGTACCGACAGAGGGACCGGCCTGGACTGGCCTACCCCGAATATAACACAGGCCTGTGAGAACAGGCCAAGGGATTGGTCTCACAGGCCAACCCGAGGTCCGCTACACGATCCTCGGCCTGTGATGGATCGCCTAGATACAAACATGCTTCCGCCAAGAAGCGGAACTCTACCAAAGAAAAGAAAACCTGAGTAGTCTAGGATGCGGAGCAAGCTCCATGCTGAGTCCATGCGATGCAACCTAGGATATAAAATGTCACAAAACAACAATGTCACAGCTAACAGCCTAAGTGAAAGTAGGAGCAACTAACTAACATACATGTCCTAGGAAAGCAAAAAGTAGTGACAACTAGATCCTATAATGTTGGAGGCACTAGCCTCGGTCTGGTAACAACTGACTAGTGTATAAGTCCTAAGAACAGCAAAAGCAGAACAGCTAAATCCTAGAAACGTCGGAGGTAGTAGCCTCAGYCTGAGAGCAACAAAGCAATCAACAAGACAACCATATGTCACATGAGAAGTGTGTCGCACACCAAAGGGTGGGATGGTCTCTGAAGGTGGCGAATGCAGCCTAGGGGTCGAAAACTCCTAAGGGCATCCACATATATAGTGACAGGGGAAAACACATGTCATCAGGCTCAATGAGGGTAGGGAACTGGGAGCGAACAGAACCAATGACCCTAACAGATAGACCATCAGGGTGGGTAATGCTCGACTAAGGGGTGACCGCTATGGAGGGTCGACCATGCAAGGGAACAAGGGAGCCTGGTATACTGGGCGCACCTAGATGAAGCATGCGGGGCTGCCTAGCTAGGGCGTGAGGGCCGGCGAAGGGTAGAAAGATGATGGGTAAGGGAATCATGCAAATGACTCCTAAAGTGAGGGAAGTCGGAGCTAGATCCGTAAGATGGGAAGCCAGGGCAACGCTACGGTCCCGATGCCTATGCGTATACCAAGGGAGAGCCCAACTCCGAGGAACCCGGCTAAAGGGAGACCATCATGCGACACAAGCAGGGTACTGTACAGGGTAGAGTGGTAAGAGAGTGGCGACGTCTGAAGTAGGCAAAGCTGATCGTGATGAAGTCCATGAAGCTGCCGATGACGTCCACGATTAGAAGTCTGGAATGCCGTCGAGAAAGAGCCGCAGCGTCGACGAGCTGAAGTAGCAAAACTGATGTGGATGGAGTACTGAGAAGTCAAAGACGTGGGAAGGTAAGTCAGAGTCAACCGTCGTATCGAGCAGGAYGACGACGAGTGCGCTGTGGACGCTCAGAAGCATYCGGCTGCTGCWRAAGGTCTGCCTCAGATGGAGCAGGCTCAACTTCAGCGGTMTCCTCAGCCGRAGGAGAAGGAGGAGGGTCMGTGGGCTGAGGAGGAGCAGTGAACCCAGCACGACGAGCACGGTCATAGGCACGCACCAACATGCGAGCRTGCTSCAAGTCCTCGAGGGGCTCCCAGGTAGCCTCCTCATCAGGGTAACCCTTCCAACGTACGAGATACTCGACGTGGGGAGGGTTGTCGTCGGTGACTCGGCGACCAATGATGTCTGAAAGGAGGAACTCCTCGTGGCCGTCCACCATGATGGGTGGAGGGCGCTCGTATGGTCGTCCAGCGAAACGCTCAGACGGTCTGCGGTAAGGACGTAGTAACGAGACGTGGTAGACATCATGCACACGAGCCTGGCGTAGGTAGTCGGGCAGCTTCACACGGAAGCTGACCGGGCTAGATGCCGTATCAGAACCGACGGCCTGGAGGATGCGGCATGGGCTAAAGAAGCGACGTCGAAACTTGCGAAGCGTGTCCGCTTCGAGCTGTAAGTGGCGGGCGTCGATAAGCACATCATCACCGACCTTGAATGGGTGAT